CTTTGCGCAGCGCCTCCACCACCAGATTCTGGTATTCTTTCAGCGCTGTCATGTGGGCGTCATCACGAACATTCCACCCTGGATCAGTCTCTGGGGCTTTAGCCAAAACCACTGCTTGCAAATCCTGGGCAGCTGGATTCCTATCCCTCACACACGTTCTAACAGCCGCTCTCCACTTTTCCTTTTCCTCAGGCGTTAATAAGGTATTTAACAGCTGCTGAATATCCTGCCACGTGGGATTGTGAGTTTGCATAATGGTCTGAAACAAATCTGCCATTTCCGTTGGCTTAACAGTTAAAGGACCATAATGCTGCTTCCAATTCAACAGATCTGTGGTAGTGAACAGAACGTATTGGAAAATGGATTTGATCTGTGCAGCTCCCTGCTGATCCATTACATGCTGATCCATCTGTCTCAAGGGAGCAAGCAGCTCCCCTCTCCTTGCCTTAGACCTGGTCATTACTCCCGTCGAGACTGCAATCTCAGTCTCCTCACTTCCCTCTTCAGACAACTCTTCAGCTTCCCCTCCAGGGTGATCTCTCACCCCTCCCTTTTCTTCCTTAGGAGCAGTCGGCACAGACTTTCCCCCCCTTCTTCTCACCACTGCTTGCACGCCTTCAGCCTGTGCCGCAGCCCCTGCCCCAGGCTGAAGCAGAGGAGGTGCTGCCACAGGCTGGGGTGGGGGTGGTGGCTGTGGCACATACGGAGGGGGCCGGAGCACTGCTTCCTCTTCTTCTACCAAAACCTCCTTCCTTAAATCTGACAGCTTTGTTTCTGCGATCTTCACATCCTTATATTTTTTCTCCACTGCTTTCAACTTTTTCCCTTTTGGTCTAACTACACACAAACGCACCATTTCAGCCTGGCATTGTAGTAGATCATCTGCCCTTTCTGCTACTGCATCCCCCCACTGGTCTATGTACTGGAATTGATTAGGATAATTTTCTTCATTAGCTGCAATCAGTGAGGTCAAATCATCAATAAGCTGGGTATTAAACGTTCCCTCAGGGGGCCAGCCTACATCTAAATGAGGCCACCAATCTTCACACAGGAAACGCAGCCTATCCTTAGAAACTGGGGGATATGGCACTTTATATTTGGTGTGATTGAAATAGTGATCAAAACCTTGTAACATACATTGAAGTGGTGTGCTAGGCACACTACTTTTCCCTCCCATTCTGGTACTAACACTGCCAACGCCACTGACCTACGGTGCTGGAAACTCGACAGTCACCAATAGGAAATGCAGCAGCAGATGGCTTAACCTCCCACACACACCCTAACACAGACTTCTTTAGGAACGACGTCCCGAGTCTAGGGGGGCGATCAATCTCCCTCTTCTATCTTCAAACGAGATAGGTACTTCCCCAGTTTAATACATACTTGCCTGAGGCGTCTTCACACACACACGTCCTGGCCAGGAGCAGTTCAGACCTCCTTTCCTTCCCCCAAGGGTTCTTGGACTAGCTATCAGCACCGTCGGCTCCACAGAGAAGTCACTTCTGTCTCCCGGAGGGGATTCCCCCGTGGTGCCTGGAGAATGTTTCAGGAGTGGCTTCCCGTCGGGCCCGAGGGGTCAAGCTGTCCTCAGCGAAACATCGCCTGGCCTTTGTCCCATCTGGGGTGCCAGGAAACTGTTGTGGAAATGAAGGAACACAAGCCAGCTCTTTGGAGAAGGAAAGTTTTAATATGCGCAGGTTCAGATGGCCAAAGCCAATACAAAGATCTGAACCCCAAGGAGCGTCCAGAGTACACATATATAGGTTATACAACGTATGCATTTCCTGACCCCGCTAGGCCCCATATATGGTAATATGTTAAACATTGTGATCTCAGCATTCCTGAGAGTATGGAAAAGTACCAGACAGTTGAACATTGACACAGAGATAAAAATAGTGAATTGGCTACTAAGCAAAGCAAAAACAGGATATGGGTGAAATATGGCTGCAGCAGTCAAGGACAGTGTGAGAGAGCATTATCTCCAGACTCAGCAATTTTTGGAATGCCTTGTGACCGGTCCACCTCAATAGAGTGGTGGAATATAATTTAGGTTTTTAGAAAAAATTTTCTTTTTCTTTTCTTTTATATATTTTACCTACTCATGTAGAATAATATATTTTGTGGAGTTAGAGATACTAATATTTGTTTACTTATATCTGAATATTATCCTGGGATTAGGTTTGGGAAGTCCGGGGGGGTGGGGGGTGGGGGGTTTCTCATATAGCATTGTGTAACATTTGTGATGTTTTTTTTTATGATGAAAAATAATAAAAAAATTTATATTGAAAAAAAAACACAACAATATTTGTACATGTTTTTGTACTGCAAATCCCACTAAGTGATATAAAGAAGTCACATGTTTCACAAAAGGATTACATGCTTCCTTTTCCAAAAGGTTTTATAAATAGATTTTAAAATATAAGAAATATAATGAAGTTTCATGATGTTTTTGTTTGGTTCTTTATATGGTCATAGAACAATAATATTCTGAAAATAAATCATTAGTGGTTGTATAAAAGAAGACCTTTAATTACAAAAACAAAGCAGTTTCTGAAAATAAAATATTGCTCAAATAAGACCCTTGCTTAAAGCACTTAGAAAGGCTTTTTTAAAAAACTCTTTTAATTTTTTTTATTAAAAAATGAAATAGTTCGCAACATAAAAGCTCAGTTCTAACTTTGAAGCAAGTCTTGTAAATGAAATACTGCACTGAATACAGGATTTGACCTGAGATAGGACTTAATGAACTCTTGAAAATCAAAAAATAAAATAAAACTGAGTTTCATTTGAGCATGGAGATGTTGTTTCTTGGCAACAATGTGAAACTGATTTTCTATTGTTTTCATGTAATATATATGTTCCCCTTCTCAGCCTAGTCTATCATTTTGAGATTATTTTTTTGTGGTCTCCCATTCAAGCACTAACAGATCCAACCAGATCTAGTCTCTAAAATCAATCAGAGTTGGTTAGAAGTTGAGTATGCTGTGCTTTGTTCTGACTAATCCAGTCTGTACTTTGCATTTTGACATGTTGTAGCTAGCATTTTTTAACTAGACCATTCAGTGCAAAGAATCAAATGCCCCATCCTCCTGGGCTTAGAGCTCTTTCATGAAACCACGTGGCCCCTTTGCTTGTAAAAGAAAACAATTGTTTTCATTTTCTCCACATCTGGAGAAAATTCTACAAATTTGCAAAACTGAAAGAGGCTTATGCGAAGAATTAGGTTCACATTGGGTGATGGTTGCTCCTGCTCTTTTTTATTATTTTTCTTGCCTTGGTGCCTGGACTAGAAAAACATGCATGAGAGCAATGTTACTTCAGCTTTCTTTAAGTCCATCTCAAGAGCTGCAGTCAAAAGCCTCAAAAAACAAGGCTTCAGCATTTACAATTTTTCCATTGGAACCAATAAAATGGCAAGCCTTATCCATGGGAAAAAGAAATTGACACTGCTCAATTTAGGCTTAGTCTTTCTAACCTTCAAAGTACTAAAATATTGCCATTTAATTAGTTGGGAAAGGTTGTTGAAGGTAGTAATTTTGGAAATTTGATATTTCTTACCACTATTTGATAATAAATAGTGAATCACAATAAAATCCAAAATGATGTAATGTGTTGCAGTGGCATGAAAAAAATTCCACCTTTTCATAGTTGTTTTGCAATGGTCATGCACATATATAGTATATAGGAATGGCTATTGCACTATGATGTTACCATATGTTTTCAGCATACAGTATGCCTCTCTGCTGCTGGATACCTGCATTAGAAAAGAGCAAATGTACAAATGTATATGCAGTTTCTGAGTGCTGTGGAACAGGTTTTCATTGAGGATATCCCTGTACTTTGCTCCATTTAGCTTTTCCTCAACCTGAGCAGTCTCCCAGTCCCTGCTGCCTCAACATTTTTAACTAATGGCTTTAACTAATTTAGAGACAATATTCCAGTATTTGAGGGGCTACCACAAAAAAGAGGGGGTAAACCTATTTTCAAAATCACCAGAGGGCAGGACAAGAAACAATGGATGGAAACTAATCAAGGAGAGAAGCAACGTGAAATTAAGGAGAAACTTCCTAACAGTGAGAACAATTAACCAGTGGAATAGGTTGCCTTCAGAAGTTGTGGCTGCTTCATCAGTGGAGGTTTTTAAGAAAAGACTGGACAGCCAGTTGTTTGAACTGGTGTAGGGTCTCCTGCTTGAACAGGGGGTTGTACCAGAAGACCTCCAAAGTCCCTTCCAGCTCTATTCTGATTGATTGATTGATTGATTGATTGATTGATTGAATGGTTGAATGATTGAATGATTGAATGATTGAATGATTGAATGATTGAATGATTGAATGATTGAGATTAACAGCTGCAATATTTTAGCTGGAATTTTATTGCTGGTTTTCAAGAATTTCTGGACCTTACATCTTGTTTACAAGGTACCTAATAGGTTTATCAGAAATATTCCTAAATTCCCTGTTTTGAAGAAAGCTAAAGTTAATGACTTTACAGGAAAACAAAGTGCCAGTTATGCTGTCCTTGTTAGCCAGAAAACTGCCAATAACATAATCCTGACCCAGCTATATGAAAAGGCATTTTCACATAGATTGAGTGTGTGGCTGCTGTTCCGAAGATAATAGTTTACTCTGTAGTGGTATTTATGAAACCCCAGTATTTAATCATGTTTCTTTTAATCTGGAATGTGTAAATTTATGGGATATTCTCCATTCAAAGTCTTTAAAGTGTGTATATTAATGTATATTGCCATTTTCCTTGACTTTATGCATCCATCATATTCCAAAATGTCAACCAACTTAAGCCTTGAATGTGTTTTGGGCAGAAGAAATTAACTTGAAAAGATAAATTACCTTAACATTATGCATTTAGTAGCATTTGTAGGGGTCAGTAATGGCCCATCAAATGCCTTTATTGATGCAAAAGAGATTTACTTCAAATGAAATAAACATATTTGCAAAAAGAGTCACCACTCTACATTTCCTTAAAAAAAAAACTCAAATAAAGCTTTCCTGCATAGCAATAAACACCACAATAAACATTCTCATGCTTTTTTCCCCTCCCGTTTACTCGATAAATATTAAACATACACTTCAGGCCTCATGCTGGCTGAAGGGCAATGTTTGAATAAGGCTGTGGAAGATGACTATAATCAAAAATCAGAAAGAAAAGGAACTCAGGGAATATTTCCAGTCCGTGTACAAGAAAGAAAAAAAAACCATGAGAGAGTTTTCTGGAAGCTGAACACAAGGGATTATAAAATGGACCATAAAAGAAATTGCAGGGATATGGTACTTAATGTCACTGGCTTACATGTTCTCATAACAAGTAGCATATCTCTGAAATTGTTACACACTCTCGCCTGAGAAACATATCCACATGTGTTTTTCTGAGAACTATTTTGGTTGTTGAGTGTCCCAAAATTTGCCCTATTTTCCCTATTACATGCCTATTTTCCTTATTGCATGCCCTGTAATGTTTTAAATATATTCAAAGATGAGGATGAAGAGATTCCATAGTAGCCTATCGGCATGGTAAAGTCATTTTTTGTCCCATTTCCCACCTCTACTCATCCACAACCATTTGTATTCAAATCCGAGATAATTGGAAGAAATGGACATTGCCCTTAGAAACAATTTGGTGCTTGTTAGTATAGCAGAAAGACTAAGGTTCTTCATATCATCATCCCTCCTCGGGCATCAGGTCTGTGCAAAGCAGCTGAGAGGGCGCATTACAAAGTACATTAAAGTAAATCAAACATCCTTCCCCCAAAGCATTAGATCAGCTGTGCCCCCCCCCAATGCCTGGCCCAGCTGCTTCAAAGCCTTTCCACTGTTGTCTCTCCATATGTATGCCTACACAACTACTTATGTTCCCTGACAGTCCCAGCAGAAGTGTTGTCTGTGCAAATACAGGCAAGCAGAGACAAGTGAAAAGGCTTTGAAGTAGTTGCATGGGGGCCTCCCATGATTGCAATAGTTCCTTTGTAAATACCAGCATGCTAGAGCAAATAGGGGGTGGGATACTTCAGTGCAGGGTCCAGTGGGATTTCAGCCATTTCTTGCCTTATTTTAGGATTTCACACTTTAAAAATAACATTTGAAAGATTATTTTTATAAGATATAATTCACTACCTTTGTATTTCATATCAAATATTTGAAAAGTAATATAAGTTCAGAA